TCCAGTCCTACTGCTCGCTCATTGGTCAAGTTCATGCTGTCAGCTCTGTGCCTGAGGTAAGCCAAATCATAGCTCATAAAGATATCATTTAAAATCCTTCCACTGTTCAGGGTCTCAATATTTGAGACATGGACCCAGTCGGCAGCAACATGTAGTGGGCATGAAACAGAATAGTTATATTTGTTATCTTTTTTGTATTACTGCCGAATTTTATTCCATATTTTATTCAATTTTATTCCATTCTATTTCTATGTAAATACTGCTATATTTTCTATTATTTTTAATATTTTTTAATTTTATTATAGTTTTCTTAAAATAGTTCTCTGTCTGTGTTTTTTAATTTTCGTTTTACTTTTATGTATGCACAATGACATCAAATCAAATTCCTCGTACGTGTCAACCTACCTGGTAATAAATCTGTTTCTGATTCAGATTTAAATCAACAAGGAAAAAAAGAAGAACAGCCAAAGAGTTGGTTGACTGGCTGTAAAAAAAGAAAATAAATCCCTTACAAAGAACATCTTAAAACCCACCAGCTGTTTAGAAAAGTCTTTCCCCATTATCAAATCATAGAAACATGACTTATGCGATGACTTGAAAGCTTGCACACTAAACCACCATCTGTTTCCCTCCCACTCGGTAGCTTCTGAACATGTCTCGGGAGCTCACTGATCTGAGGACCAGCCTGCAGGCAGCAGAGGCGGCTGTAGCGAGCGATCTGGAACACAAACACTTGGCCCACACTCACGCACACGCCTCCCAGGTGGCCGCCATGGTTGTGCCCATCTTCCCCAGCTCCGAGGCAGCTGTACAGGCCATACTGGAGTGCCTTAAGAACCACGAGTTTACCAAAGCTGTGCGCTACATCCAGGAGTGCAGGTGAGTTACACTTCTGTCAAAAGATGTTATCAACATCTAGTTAAACTTATTTTCTTGAAATACAAGTTAAAAAGAGAAGGGGTGTGTTTTTGCAATGGTATCACAATTATTTAGTGTAGTAAAGATTCTAAAATTTGTAAGAAAAATGGCTAAAAACTACATTTAAACCAGTACTCCTTTTTACAGATTACAATACAGCCAAATTAAGATAAATAAGTCATCTTGCAATTGACTTATTTATCTAAATAGTTATCACCGAAATAAACCGTATTTAATTTCGTCTTAATGTACAATATTTAATTTCCCATTCTGTCCATATATCATATTCTATTTACGTGTATAGACTTCTTGCACTTCAAATAAAAAATATTTTTGTATTTTATTATACATGTTTCATCATTGGAGGAGCTCGGGTCATAAGATTTTCATTGCCATTTCTACACTGTAGCTTATGTGCATATGACATTAAAACCTTTGATTCTTGAATTTAATCCTGATTCTTTTCAATTAAAACGATAGGTCTTTAATTGACTTTAAAAAATGTCAAGGGAGTTTGCTGTTCTAAGATCCAAGGGGGACCTACATTCACACACAACATAGCTTAAAGGTCACCTTTTATGCAAAATCCACTTCTTCATGTCTTTTATACATCAACATGTGTCCCCTCTGTGGAAAGAGATTCTGAAAGTTTCAGGAAAAAAGATTCTCTCACTTTTTGTCCTGATCCTTTTCTATAAAAACCTGTCTGAAAATGAGCTGATCAGATTGTGGCCACTTTATGATGTCATAACGATTTTTTGTCTCGTGTAACCATTAGCCAATCACCAACCAAGGTAACCCCCCCCCCCCCCCACCTTATCACCTGAATCTCCTCCTAGAGCACCATTGTGTTCTTTTTAACCAAATCTCTCTCAGAGGGGCGTGGGGAGGGGCTCCTTATTCTCATCTAAAGTAACAGACAGAGAATCAGGACTTTTGAAACAGGGCTGGAACAGAGGGGATTATGGGTAATGCTGCAATGATCTGTTTGGTATTTCGAGCCAAACACTTCAGAGACATGTTTTGTATATATCTGAGACCTATAATATATTGATGAAAAACAGTATAATAGAGGACCTTTAACATGCACACATGGAGCTCTGTTTATATCCCCCATCATATTGATCTATCTCACCTTCTTTCTTTATTGTGTTTCCAGGAGGCAGTGGCCCCACGGCGTGTTTGGAGGCAGCTCAGAGACCGAGGTGCAGACCCTGCTGAACGTGTACTTCCGCCACCAGACTCTGGGCCAGACGGGCACCATCGCGCTGGTGGGCTCCCGGCAGGACCTCAGCCTGATCTGCTCCAAGCTGCTGGAGCTCAACGGGGAGATCCGCGAGATGATCCGCCGCGCCCAGGGTTACCGGGTGGTCACAACCTACCTCCCCGACTCCAGCGCCTCCGGGACGAGCCTCTGACAAGAGCTGAGGAGCCCCCCTCCCCCTCCCCCTCCGTACCCACCCTTACCTCCCCCGTCACTGCAACCATTGACACTTCCAAAACCATCGCCACACCCCTTCTCTTCTCAGCCCGCTCCCTCAGAGGAGGCTCAGCACCCCCACACCTGGCCTCTGCCCCCCCCTGTGTATCTGCTGCCCCAGCTGCAGAGCGCCAGACCCTTACCTCCCTACCGGCCGCGCAGAAACCAGAGCCACATTTAGACCCAAACTTTTCTCTGCTCTCCTCATCCACATCCTCTGATGATTCTTTACTTGATTTCCCCAAACCCCCGGACCTGTTCTCATCTCGTATCTGCTCAAACGCACCAAATCTTACACTGCCGCACACAAAAGAGCCGAGGAGGAGTTACCTCGATGAGAGCACTTACCTTTATCATCCTTTCAGAGGACACTCGTCACACAGTTCACCAATGTTGCACACACACAGCAGCAAACACTTGACATCATCACGGAAATCCCACACACTCCTGACTGTGGCCTCAGAACCCACCCTGCTCACACACTCTGACACACACCCCGTTCCTCCACAGGGTTCACATCTCCCCCATTTCCCGCGCTCTCCGCACAAGCACTCATCCCTAACTTCACCCCAGGTCCATGACACAGTGTTAACTCGTGGCCCTGCTCCATGTTCATCCCTCCTCCCTCCTCCACCTCCCTGTTCCCCCAGCCCAGGCGAGGGTGCAGCGTGGGGTTGCTGCTGCTCCCTGGGTACAGCTGCTACTCCCTTATCTCGCTACCTTGGGAAGGTGGGGCATGCCGCCCTGCCCCTATTGAAAGTAGGGGGGCTCCTTAATGCTGAACCGTCAGACGTCCAGACCTGAAACGGAAACTGACGATACCAGAGGACCTATGAATCCAAATACCTGAAACAGACTTCTCCTAAGCAACCCCTCAGATCTTTGTATCTGAAAAGAAGACATCAAATAAATACGTGCAGATTTTACACTTTAAAACATTGAATCATGTCCCAGATATAGAGGGATGTTTGGCTGAATCCACTGGATACTACAGACTGCTGCCTGCTGATAAAGACGACCTGATGTGATTCTATAAGAGCGCCAACTTCACTTTACGTTTACATGTTGTTTATGCCTACAAATTGATGTGCTCCTAGTTTAAGTCCTGCTTGATGGTCATAATTCAGAACCTATTCTGCACCTGAGGACCTGTGAAAGATCCGAGCTCGGATTTCTTAACCTGTTTCCCAGAGGAACCGGAGAACTGATTGAACTTGACTGTGTGTTGCTGCCTCCTACAGGAAGGACGTAGTGATGCTGGTAGTATCAACAGAGACAGTGAGGAAACTACCCGTGACACTACGTATCAGCACTGGTAGAGTTTTCGCTATTGCACTAAATGGAGTTTTGATATTAGTTTTTAAAAGAGACATTACAGAAAGGAGGGTTTTTTTGTTACTATGAGAGAAAAGGCTGTTACTGAAAAGGAAAAGACAATTGTATTATCTTCTCTCTCCTGCTGTGTCTACTGTTTTGAGACCTTCTTTGGAGGCAATTGTGCAATGCATGACCTAGTTGAATGCTTTCTACTGTACTGGTGTCCCTTTTGCTCCATAAAAGTCTGACCTCCAGACTGACTGAAAGTCTGATCCAGAGTATTCAAGTGTAATTCCTCATGCTGATCTTGCTCTGTTTATATTCTGTATCGGTGAACCAGCTTGTCTACTGTTGTAAACATTGGTAGACTAATCATGCCGTTAGCTGTGGCGAGTTGTAGCATCATTAGTGAGTACACTGTATATTTCTCACTGTAATACGTTGACCTTATGTGTTCACATGCCATGTGCATGAACACTCAAATATTTCGTCTGTATACGATTAGTACTTATGGGCACACATCCATTGTAGCATATGTTTGTGGTTTGTAGTTACCTTACACATAGGAAATGCTGACATTCAGCAATCATTGACGTTAAAAACCTGTCCAGTGCTACTGAAGTCCAACACTTCCTGTCGTCAGCCCTTGTTTACCCTCTTTCTGCTGTACAAATGTTTTCCTATTTATATCTGATCAGCTATAAATCACTCATTTGACTTAGTTTTCTATTGATGTCTGTCCTCTTAAATCAAACTGCCATGCATGCATCTTCAGTGTACTGGAAGTGTTTGGAATATTTATTTACAAAAAAAAGAAAATCATATTTTATCTGAAAGATACGTTTGAGGTACAAAAGGGAGCTCTAAGCTCATGCGGGTATGTTTTTCTTTCCTGTGTGTGGGAGAGCGTGTGTGTGCATGCCAAACAAGAAGTTGCACATTTTTAGAGCTTTTTAGATGAAGACTAGTTTTTGTTCACCTTGTAAATAGTTTTACAGCCTTTGTGAAGTTGTTTTGAGTTGATGCTCTGTACAATTCTGTGTCAAAGTAAAAGACATATCAAATTATTTCTTGTGCATTTCACGTCAAGTCTTTAGAGTTGCATCTATTTTTTTTACATAATGTACATTTGAAATGGACTGTTATTGACACTAGAGTACTGCACATTTTATCTGTGCTCAAGTCCATTTAAAGATCTAGTGCATGCATTCAAGCAGCGAGTGTCAGACCAAAGTGAGCTGTTAGAAAGATTTCAATTAATGCAAAAAGACATTACACATTTTTTGATATGCAATACATTTATTTAATTTTTCCTTACTAAAATAGTTTATGTTTAAGTTACGCTCCAGGATAATTAGGGGAAACAAAGATGGCGTTTTTGAGATTGCTTCAAATAAACAACCAAAAGATCTTAAAGTCCTTTACGTCAACTTCCATTTGTGGCATGTACTGAATGTCTGCTGAGGAATGGGAGCTTCCAAACCCGAGCGAACATGCAGGGCAGCTCAGACGATGTATTTGAAGCTGTAGGTGGCGTCGCAGGATAACCTCGAGCCCTTGCAGCGACAACACAGGTCCTGGCGGTGAGGCCTCTTCATGTTAATGTGCCGCTGCTTCTTCTCACAGTTGCAGGTAGTCTGAGAGCAGTCCTAAAACAGAGATGAGGAGACGGTTAAAGTGAATTCTAACAGTCAGCAATCAATAGAAGGTTTTTGACCCATGTTCAAGGATGCTTCGGTTTTAAAACCTAGAGCAAGAGAAGTAAATGCACCTTGCAGAGGATGGGCTCCACCCTGTAGGGGTTAAACCCAACCTGACACTTCCGGCAGAGCTGCTTGTAGTACACCTGAGAAGAGCAAACGTGCAATAAATAAATAAAATATAAACTACACATTATGAAAAGCCCAACATATTTTTAAACCATGGATTACAGTTAAAAAAAAACACTCACTTTACTGGTTCCAGAGATGCACCAAACATACGCACTCTCCCACCGGATGTTGCATTTTTTGCAGTGGAAAAAGCCATACCTCTGCTCCAGGAACTTGAATAAAAACAGATTCAGAGATCAGTTATGCAGAGGCCCTTCACACAATGATGTTATGATGAAGGCAGGTCTATCTAAATGGCAAACTAAATGAAATACCTAAACAGATACAAGGCTCCAAAATATAATTAACACTGCCTGTGCCTTTTAATTAAATATATCCATGAATTTCTTAATATGATAAGGACCCAAGTCATAACCTGCTTAAAATGTATCTAAATGAATGTAGGCCAATTAAAACAAATAAAATACATATCATTTATGCATTAGTGTGGAATAAGGCCTACACATAGGAAAAGAGCACGAATCCAGAGAGAGAGAGTCGGTCTCTTCCGTGTTTCCTCAGACAGAAACAACTCACCTGAAAGCTGGACCCCTTTGTAGACTTGTGGAAAGTTGTCTTGAAGTCCTTCCCGGTGTCCTCTTTGCCACTGTCGCCCTTCTCACATTCATGCCCTGACTCAACGTGATCCACGGATTCTTCGGCTTCTCCTTCACTTTCATCCGCATAGCTGAGTTTCTTCCTGGAGATCCTGCGGTCAAACACGGGGGAGTAGATGGACACAGGCCGCAGGAAGCGCATGTGGCTCACCGGTGTAGTGCAGTACGGGGCATTCCCCTCTGCTTTAACCAGCCCCGGGCTCTTGGGGGACTTTGAGGACAGGGGGACTCCCTCTGAGCAGAACAGCGTTTTAGGACCCAGCGAGCACTGCACGGTTTTATCCACTTTGGCATTCACCTGCACGCCGCACTCTTTGGTGATGGCTTTCCTCAGTGGGAATGGTAAACTGGGGTGAACCTGGGCCAGGATGGCTTTGCACAGCTCAAGGTAATTGAGGCCCTGAGGGACCATGAAGCGGCCATCTCTCTTCCCCCAGCCGATGTCCGGAGCCGGGGCAGCGCACACAGAGTACGGGTGAAACGCAGGTAGGAACCCCTCCATCCTGGAGCCTTGAAACCTAACGCTCTCTGCTGGGATTTAAGCAGTTGCCAATTTGCAGCACTAATTGGTTGATTGAGAGCAGGTCTGTGTGTCCTCTAATTGAGCTGCTATTCAGACATAGCATTCTATAGCTGGTTTAAAACTGTTATGTGATAACTGACAATCACAAAGACAACATATCTTAAATAATTAATAAATGCAATATGTTGTTGTTAAAATTCAATAAGATTGGTATCAATAAGATTGATATCATATCAATTACAACTGCATATCAATGATAAATATGCAGTTGTAATTTCACGTAATCGGATTTAATTCAGATTATTTTAATCACATGATCATTGTGTTTTCAATCCAATTAATCTTGGTTCATACTGAAATTAAATTAAATCCATTGTTATTGAGTTAAAACCTCATTCAGAAAACGTTGTGCGTAATCTGTAGGCTTTACCTTAAACTAATGTAACAATTATTATTTTTAAAGAATAGTGCTTCAGGTTTTAAAGGTGGAAATCTAAAACATAATATTAGAGCTCCCCCTATAGGTCATGTTGGGAGAGATCCAACATAAAAATAAAAAGCAGGCGCTGATCTTTGAGATATGTTATCTTTTAGTATGATATTCAGTTAATCAGTATAACAAGATATTTTAGGCTCAGTGGCTTAAAATCATGTGGATTTGTATAAGAACTTGGAAAATAAAGTGACAATTGTAAACACAGTTAATGTACCTTCAGGAAGAACAGATGTTGTTGCATAAATGAGTAGGTTGGTAGGGCAAGGAATAGGAAAAAGTAAAGGCTACAGCAGCAACTGAAAAAAGCCTGCAATGAAAATTGAACTATTGGACTCACTCTTTTGGTAACAAAATGTCAAATTATTTACATATTTAAATAATAAGCTGAACTTTATTTGTCTACAAAGTCAATTCACTTGATGAAACAATATAGGATACCTTACAAATTAAATATAATGACATAGCCTACTCACATAATGGCAATTTTTCTGCACAATGATTACTTGTACTTTTTAACCTATCAATTTGGCTGATCATACTTTTGTACATTTACTTCAGTAAGATTTTGAATGCAGAACTTTAACTTGTAATGAAGTATTTTGACAATAATGTACTAGTTATTTTACTCAAGAAAAAGCATCTGAATACGTCTTCCACCAATGATGAAAAGTGAATAATCGTTAAAATGAATAATTCAGTGAAAAGATACTATAGACTCGACCTATAGGTGGCGCTACACACTCACTGATGGTTTGCACCCATGGGCACTGAATCTACACTTATTGGCGCCATTTTGGAGCTAGGAGGGGGAAGAGAGCTGCATAGGAGGACACGATTGATCACAATTCAGCGTAACCGGTAAGAAAATGCACAAACGAGCGAATATTTTTGATTTAAACTGAGGAATATTTCCTGTGCTGCTGCAAACAACGAGGTATAACCGATAATGTGTCCGCGGAGTAGCCTGGTTTCTAGCGCTAAGAGGCGGATCGCAGCCCGCCTTGCTCGCCTGTGTTCTCGGCAGCCGTGTCGGATACTCAGCGCTGGTTGACATGATCCTGCGGCGCTAAATGGTTAGCTCGTCGAAAACTAGCCCCTTTGCTAGGTTCAGTGCCCCAGCAGCATTAACACACTATTATTCGGCGTGGTTGTTCTAATGAAGTTTGGATATTTATAGCGATATAACGAGAGTTAGCCGGGATGTTTTGTTCGGCGCAACGGTACTATCTGTCCGCCCTCTGTCACTGAGATTGCGGCTGCTAACGTTAGCTCGCTAATGCTAGCCAGTGTTGTTGCTAGCAAGCTAACAGCAGCTAACTAGATTAGCTTCGGTCAACATTACTGCAACAAGGCAGGCTGGCCACACCATAGTAGAACCATAACAATAAGCATATCTAATCATAACATATGTGTCGTCTGTATTGACTATAACTAACGTAACTCGTAATCCTGTAGCTGTTGCAGTGTTTAATTATTTTACGCTGTGCCACTTGTAAAAGGCGCAGTGTTTTTTATTGCAGTGTTTATTTTGTGGTAAATCGGCTCATATTTAAAACTGAACCCCCTATCTTTACATATGGATAACACTTACTTATATGCAAACTTAATGTTTTTAATCTTATCGAACAAGAACATGTTTTGCTTAGCGGCTGCTGGAAAGATAAGACAAGAATAGTTATTTATGAAATTGGACTCTGCATGGTGCTCTTATAAACTGAGAAAGTCACGTCCAGGCTGCTGCAGTGCTTTTTGTTTTGACAGCTATCAGCCTGTGATTGTTGAATCAGTGTTGTCATCACCAACACCGCAGATTGGTAAACGGTTCACTGGTGTAAGAAGAATCTGAAATACCTGTTTGTGTGGCCTTGGTTTCATTCAGTTTTGTTACCAAAAACACTTTAAAAGTGCTGTTCAAGACACCTTTCCCATTAGGACAATTTCTAATGTAATGTTTTGATTTACACTAGTGTATATTATATTATATTATATTGTTGCTTATTATCTTTTAAATAGCTATGCATTCAAACACATTGACCAGGAGCCACCGTTTAGTAGTTCTGCTTTGAGTGATTATTTTATTTATTGGCAATAGTTTTCCCCCCATTATAACTCATTCCCAGCTATGAGGAAAACTACCAAATATATGTTGGTCACATGTATTTGTATTATGTAGATTTGCCCTACATTAAGCCACAATGATAGTCTGTAGTTTGTTTATGTGTGCTGTTTGTTTGTGTTGAACAAATACAAAGGAGGGACATGTCTGCAGACTCTGCAGTGGCTAATAAACTGTGCCAAGTGATTCAGCAGGGTGTTTGTAGATGACAGATGTCATATGGCATCTTTGAATGTTTCCACGAACCTCATCTTATCCTCATACCTTTTGGACTTATTTCAAACCCTTCTTCTCTGCTCAGTTGTTGTTTCTGGCCGGCCCTCACTCTTTTAGATTTTGCAGAGAAATGCTCAGTTCAGAAAACGTCTATTTAATTTCATTCGGGGTGAAAACTAAGCTCTTTGACAGTGCATCCCTGTTAAGCCAGTTTCCCTCACTCTGTCGGTTGGAGTGCCCATGTGTGGGTCGTTGAGTTTAGGCTTACAACCAGCTGGTGTCCAGTCCTTTCTCTGTTTGCCGACAGTCACTCTCATTCCTGTGATCATCCACAGGGTTAAAACAAAGAGAGTCTGTGTCAAGGTTCAGATTAGGTTAGGAGCGCTGCTCCGAGTCCTCATATTTCTGCTGGCAGCTGTAATAAAGGGCTGAAGTGGGAAGAGCAGAAGCAGCAGCCGGATAGAAAGCCCTCAATGGGGGGGGGGGGGGGAAATGTGTTTGACTATAATAAACCAGTACTGAGCTGACAGTAAGAGGTTTAGTGTTGCCTGTGATTATTTACTGCTGCTTTTTCTAAGTGAAATATTCCCCTGTGGACGGTACCCAGACAGACCCCCCAGGTCAGGAAATACTTTACCCTGATTGGCTGCCAGCGCTCTGTGTGTGTGTCAGTTAGTGTTAATTTCGTCAGCTATTTTTTAATTTAGTGTTAGTCTTAGTCCTGTGTTAAATTTCCCTTTTTAGTTTTAGTCATATTTAGTCACCTTCATCCTGTTTTTATTTAGTCAAGTTTTAGTCGACTAAAAGTCTGAGCATTTTAGTCTTATTTTAGTCAAAGAAAACTAATTATTTTAGTCTACTTTTTGTCAATGAAAACTGTTGAGTCTTTTTTTAGTCATCAGATTACATAGAACATTTCAGTCAAACTGGTCTAGCCAAAACCAATCATTTGTCATTTTAGTCAAACGTATTTCACAATAAGATTATATCTTGTCCTTATTTGATGAAAAACACAGGTTGAATGATTAAGCAGCTTAGCAGAGAGTATCTGGTCAGGTTTGTGGTGTTTGTACCAGCTGTGTTATGGCCACATTGCTTCCCTTCTGATAAAACAATGCATTTGCTTTTTTTCTCCGCCTCATTGTAGCGAAAATGGGCCCAAATATCACATCGTTTCTTTCTCCCAAGCAGTGGTAGCTTTAGACTTTTTCGTTGTCAGTCATTTTGACGGACAGGATCGTAACATCTCCGTCATAATCCATTATTATCCGTCGAGTGCACAATTTATCAATCACTCGCGCTGACGGGGGGGTATTCGGTTAACGCGAGTGCGACCACTGCTCCCAAGCCCTGTTGCCATTTTATTTTCTGTTAAATAAGGTTAGTTAGACCATGAGTTAGACCCGAGTCTTCCTGACAGTTCACAGTGTGCCGCTGCCCGGTGTAATTCAAATCTACCGCCACGCGCACCACAGACACACAGCTGCTGCCCTGCCGCAGCACCGGAAGTGGAACTGCTGGGAGAAAAACTGACTATCAGAGATGTAACGTTATCTTTGATAATATTTAGTCTCGTCACTTTTCGTCAACGATATTGCATAATGATTTCGTTAGTTATTGTTTACTGCCGTCTCGTTTTCGTCATGGAAAAAAAGGTCGTTGACGAACATATTTCGTCATAGTTTTAGTCAACGAAATTAACACTAGTGTCAGTGTGGTAGACCAAGAGAGATGAACTCAAATTTGGCAGCAGCTGTGGGTGGAAAAGAAGGTCAGAATCAAACAATTTGGCTGCCAGCCAGAGTCCTGCGTGTGTGTCCAGAGTGTGCGTGTGCTTGGCCCTGCTTGCATTTCTGTGTGTGTGTTTATAAAAGCTCAATTACAGCTGCAGAAAATTGTTTGGTTGTTACTCAAAACTCTGCATTGTGGTCTGGTATCTAAATCAAAACCAGCAAGCGTGTTTGTCTGACGGCAGACCTACTGACCCGGACTGTTCCAGAATGATCAATTCCTCTCAGTCACAGACAAGAGGCTAGTTACAGAAGAAAAGTTATCTGTATATTCAATCAATGCTTTTTAGCAACAGTATGTCTGCAGTGATTTTATTGCGGTAAAAGCTTGTTTTCTTAGTCTCCTGGGAGAGGTAGTTGT